GAGATATAAAGTCGCAATTGCGAGATATAAAGTCGCAATTGCGAGATATAAAGTCGCAATTGCGAGATATAAAGTCGCAATTGCGAGATATAAAGTCGCAATTGTGACTTACTAAGTCGCAATTGCGAGATTCCGTGGCTTATATTTTTTTACTACCTGGCGGAAACGGGCTTCCATAGATTACTCTGTGACTGTGACTCTTTATACTCAACTGGTTGGTTGAGTACTCTCTGGACCTGAAATCTCCACCTCTGGTTCTTGCATATTCTTACATACTCTAAAATAGGCTTCATGTCTGACGCCATTACATCACATTTGCTGATTTGCTGTGATTTTGGCCGTTTCAGACGACAGAGAGCATCGACGTGTACTCATTCGGGCACGTGCTGTACGAGATGACATACGGGAGGCCCCCCGACACGGTGCCCGTGGATCACTTCCCTCCCGCTCCTTCACCATCTGTGGGTCGGTAACGACTCTGACCTTCTCTCTGTTAATTGCTAATGTGTGTGTAGCGTAGGTCAAAGGTCAACATTTGCATTTAGTTATTGAAGAAGGTCCCCTAAAAATCAGATTACTCCAGAATGAGAGGGTTTCTGATCTGTGCCTCTTTACGTGTTAAAATGGTGATCAAATGGTCAAGTTGCATTCTTGGTTATGAACTGTTTACCCTTTTAGTGGAGCAGATTCATACCATTTAATGTAATGAATGCCTCTAATTAATTAAATCCCATCCAAAACATAACTGGTGCAATTGAGTTTTGGAGGGGGAACCAGCAAATCAAACTGTTAGCCTCCAGCAACACCTGTCTAAATAAAACAAAAAAAAAGCCCTGTTTCCTTAGTGAATTTAGCCTTTTCGTTAAGTGTTCTGCTCTTAGTGAAAGCCAAGCTGAGTTACAGCATCAGCAACCGGAGTGGTGCTTGGTGTTGCGAAAATGATTCGTCATCATTGGGTGGATTCACTGAGGAAGGGGGGGGGCGGGCTCGGAAATGCCCCAGAGGCTAAGTGTCACCCAGTCCCCTATCTTCCACTCAGTGTCCGTGCTGCACTCCATCCTGTCTACGGAAGCTTGCAAGACCGGGATGCCCACGGTTGGCCAACTCCTGCAGACGCCGTGAGTAACTGCCGCGCTGTGGTTTTGATGATGTCGGCATGCCGCACTCCATACGCCATAGTCCGGTGTCTCCCACGTCCCTGTGACACGTTCATTAATTCCCTCCCCCACCAGGTTGTTCAGTGACATGCTGCTAATGAACTCCGAGAAGCTCCAGTTCAAGGTGAGCGACGGGTCAGAATGGACGTCAATCCCAAAATGCATTTCCCTCAGTTTAAACACCACCAAGTACAGTAACCCCATCACACTGGTGCATTTTGCGTTTCACGGTTTCAGTTATTTGCGATTTGGCCGTGAGCAATTAAACTGGAAAATTTTTGGAGCTTGTCGAAAGATTGCAGAAACTTGTAAGCCAAAAACAATACCGAAAATGATTTGTATCACATAAAATTATATAATATATAAATATTCGTAATGCATAATATTTGTTAGTGTAAGTACATACTGTATCTTTAATATTAAAAGTCCTGGCTGGGGTGCATCCTGCATCGCCGTTTCGGCCCCCAGCCTCACTCACGTCAGCTGTCTTTGTGACCGTGGAATCTTGCCTTTCTCGTGGTAACTTCTAAACTTTTCAGTGCCGTAAATTTAAAATTAAAATTTCCAAAATATAGTGCTCTCAGTGTGTAGAGTAGTAACTTTGTACATACAGCGGCATTATTTAGATGGTTTGTATATTATATAAAAAGACCTTGATAGGAAATCTCAAAGTAATTTGACATGCAGTGAGTACAGTACAGTACTGTTTCATTTGAAATTGATAATAAGTAGACATTTTATGTCATTGCTCAGTTTAGCAGACTGTTACGGGCATCCAAGTATTATTCGCGAATTGTCACATTCGCAAGGTTCTTCCGCCCCTAACCCTTGCGAATGTGTAAGGGTTACTGTGTAGCTTTTAATGTTTTTTTTTCCAGTATGAGACTCCTAACATTGATACAGCTTTATAAACATGCCAGATTGCAAAATAGCATTTGAATTGTTCTCTGCTGTAGATTACGGCCAAATTGAAGGACGCCTTGAAAATCGCCAAAGAAAGCTTGGAAAAACGCTTACAGGAGGAACAGAAAGTGGTCAGTGTTTCCCCGCTGTGCCAGACAGTGATCTTAAAGTCGCACTCTGGTCTCTCCTGGGTGCTGCTTGGATCTACTTTTGTGTTCACGGAGCTTTGTGTGTATATTATGAATTCCATTATTCAGAAAAATAAGATTTCGATAGGCAGCCTGGTGTACATTGGGTACAGGCAGGTCAGCGAATGGTCGCTCTCCCCTACAGATACATCAGCACCGACGGCTGACCAGAGCCCAGTCACACCACGGGTCAGAGGAGGAGAAGAAGAAGAGGAAGATCCTGGCCAGGAAGGTCTGCCAAATGTCTGCAGTGAATCTCTTCTGACAGAATGGACCTCTTTGTGGCTGTAATATATGTCAATTATACACCATAAATGAATTGTTTCAGAAATCCAGACAGTCGGCTTATGAAAATGAAGAAGACCTTTCTGCCAAATACAACAACAATTCTGGTATGTCGTCCAGGGGTAGCAAGTCAAGAGGGGACATCCTTGGGATTGAGGTTCTAAGGGCTGGGCTTTGAATGCATTTCATGCAAAGGAGATTAATGTGATAGTTTCATATTGTCTTTAACTCTGCACACACCAAATGAATGAGGTGGTAACTGTATTATTTTGAGGGGTGACATAAAATCTAATGCAATACCGACATTAGCTGTTGAATGTTTACGAAGAAAATTCCCTTCAGGCACATTAGCAAAACAATGTTACACTGATCTTTTTGGTCTGGGGTCCGTGGAAGTCTGTAAATTTCAAATCTCATTTGTCATCTGCAGTGTTGATAGTCTGCTTTGAGTAAAAATCCTGTGTTTCTTTATACCTGGGTTACAGCACTCGGATATCACATGACATTCTTGCCTTTTTAAATTTAGTTTAGGGTTTTTATTGAAGTAATGAAATGGGCTAAAGGAAGTTGTTATATATCCATGGAGTTTGTTTTATGACTTAGTGTAATGACCTATATTAGGTTTGGTCTTGAAAAACAGTTTCAGTGGACTTTTCTCTTTGTGAGCTGCTGACCAATAGTGGGGCGCAGATTTAAGACATGATGCAACAGATGCCCACCCCCCCTCCCATTTTTAAATTTAGCTGAATGTTCTCCGCAGGTTCGGGTGCCAGCTCACCTCTGACATCACCTTCGTCCCCCACCCCTCCCCCAATGACAGGTAAGCCCCTGGGTCACGGTACTCTCTTCCCCACCCCCCCATGTTGACATGTAATGATCTGTGCTGATGTTTTGTGTTCAGATCAGAAGCATGGTTGTTGCTTTGTGTCTCCAATTATGGACAGTGACTAATTAAATCAATTGTAGCCTGGAAACCCAATCGAGACTAACGCATTTGTAGTAGATCACATCGATTGCAGAAATAATGATTCTTCTGTAAATTAATTTTTATATCATTTTTAGCGCGTGATATTCTTTGGTCACATGTAACAAGGTGATTGATTCTCCATTTTGACTAATTGGTGACTGAACATGTGATTTAGATGGACATTTCATTCTGATTATGTTCAAATGACCAGTAACGTTGACCTGCCTCTCTTTCCCTCCTCTGCTCTCTTCAAATTAGAGCATGCTCCATTTTGAACGTGCGGGTAAAGTAAATCATTACTGACTCCTCCCAGCCTTAAAGCTGCAGCACCTTCTTTCAGTAGCAGAGCTCTCTCCCCATCCGTTGCCTGTCTGGGCTTAAGCTGCGGATGCACTGACTACGTTTTCTAAAAAGAGATGGAGGCGTAAACTAATTCCTGCACTCACATTTCTTTAGGTGGCTGCACTTTTGCGAATTGTTTATGCAATAAATTTTTTCAGACATTGTCTATACGTGAATTTTACCTTAATGTTTGTGGTTGATATTTAATTTCTCTGGTGAGAATTTACAGTAAATGAAGCATCATTTGGCTAACCTGTTAAGACAAAGATGCCTCCCTGCATATTGCAGCGAGGAACGATGGTATTGTAGTCGGAGAATGAGAAACTCACAGGTCAATACATGTAAATGTCATGCATAATTTGGTCCCTGATTTGATAGCTCCGCCCACTTATAAAAATCAAATCATCCTGATGGTTGCTCAAACCTGCCAGCTTGGCTTTGGCTGATTATCATCTTCAACCAAATTGGTCAGTAGTTATGTTTGCCAAGTCTACTAAATCTTTGTTACTTTTGCTTCATCTCTTTTGAAAACAAAAAGCAATTTTCATACCTGCTTTGAAAAAGGTTTAATGCACCTTTAAAAAGCCACAGTCTGCAAAGTGAACCGCTTGAAGGCACATTTGTAAATGAGTTATGTCAGATATTCCCCCCTGTAGAGAAGCACACGGGAGTCTGTCTCGCTGTGTGCTTCAGCGCTGTGCTCCTGTCCTGGCTGTCCTTTGTTCGTGGTCGTGTCCTTGTCTTTGTGCTGAGGGGACAGAAAGTGGGGGTGTGTGAATAGTTAAAGGTGAAGTCCGGCGCAGCTCACAATCGTGGGTCGGTTCTGAGTGGTATAATATACCACTGCATTGACCGTCACTTTGTCTGTCAGGTGCCTTTGAGTTGCTGGTTGCCGGTGTTAGGGACATTGAAGGTGAAAACTGATAAATGAGGGTGAAATTTAGTGGGGAATCTTCCTAAATATTGACAGGAGACAAGTGTTTGCCTTGATTGTGCTTACTGCATGCCTCTCACGTTTGCTTTGTTGATCTGTCTTCTGCATGAAATGTTTTAACTTCTGTAGACATGTTCAGGGCTGGATGTTTTACTTGGGTTTTCGTTGATTCCTTTCGAATCGTAGCATGTTCTTTTGGTGTTAAATTGCAGTTCCGCTGTCATTCAAAGGAGACTATATGAAACCCAGGCGTCTGTGTGTTCTGGCGCCCTTGGATGTTGCATTTACAGGAGCCCTCGATTATTTATTTCTTTGGCTAGTGCGAATATTCAGCAAGAATGGCATTTATATGAAGAGAGTAGAGAATCTCTGCTCTCCAAATAGAACATAAGCAGAATGTTCTCTGGACTGACAAGTGCAAGGAAAACTACTTGAAAAGTAGGATCTTATTCCAAAAAGTAAGAACAGATTGTCACAATGGTCATTTCTGCTTCGGGAGCTGGACAGCTGGCTGGCGTTGAATTTATTAGAATATTCTAGATTGCCTGCGGCTGGAAACTGAAGCAGAAGTAGGTCTTGTGGCAAGAAAATGAACCAAAGTGTAAAGTATCAAATGCATATACTGGAAACTTCACAGTTTACACTGACCTGGACAAGGTCGGAACCCAAAAGAATATTGCAGTGGCATATAGATAATTAATATTCTGTCACATTCTGCTTTCTTTCCTCTTAAGCTTTTTGCTTGTCTTTTTTTTTTTTTTGTTCACTTGCGTCCATATGGCAATTGTCTGTTTTTGTGTTTCCGTTGTCTTTCCATGAAGTACGTTTCATTTGTCAGTAGGTGTCTGAATGAGTCTGTAACTGCCCATGATCACAGAGATCATTAACAAACCCACTGTTTTATGCATTGGTACTGTAAGGAAAAGTAGTACAGATGTCCCAATGTTCTTGGTTGATCATTTGGATACAGACAATTTTAGCAAGTTATGATCTCTGAAGATAATAGGGGTTCCAGTCGGCACCACTAGGGTGCTAAGGAAGATAATTCAATTGACAGTGGCCAGAGAAGTGGCTGAGCTACCATTCGTTCTCACAGGAAAGTCTTCGTCCTGTCCTGTCCCCTCCCTGCCTCAGGATCCTCACACTCCAGGGGGGCACTCTTTATATGCAAATTCCCTCACAACACCTACACACAGTACCATGTTGGGGAGGGTCTTTTGGGGTATAAAGGGGGGTGAAGAACTGCCCTTAATTTGTATTTGAGCTGCCTTTCAATACCCGGTGTATGTCTACACTGTATTACATTATATTATTTTTTTACTGTTCAATAAACCACCATTTTGCTGAAACTGCGGAGACTCTGCAAGTGGATTCCTTACAGTACACACACACACATACACACACACGTTTGTATCCATATCTTTGTGGAAAAACACTAGTCCCAACAATGACAACGTTAACCCCTACCCAGACCTAACCATTATTCTAAGTAACCAAACAAAATACAAAACTTTTGGCATTTTTGATTGCAGTCACAGATTTTTATAAAATTGAGTTACTAGAAAATAAGGTTTTTTACTGTCTGGTAACTGCATTGTCAGAAAAAATCCAGATTCCCATCAAGCAGTGATCAGAAATTCCTTCCTAAAATTATAAGTGTTTGCAGGGAGAAGCCTGCCACCCATCTTCACCTTTACTGGCAGTTGCATGAATACCTTTAATTTTTAATATGTGTTGCCTAAAATGAGCCTGGCCAATCAGGAGTTTACTGGTCAGCCATACTGGCCATTCTTATGGAGCTGGTAATAATATACCAACCAAAATTGTCCTCCCTGAAAATTTGTCACACTTTTAACCCCTGAAACCAGGATGCAAATATTAATCGCACAAGTCCCTATGACAGCTTGTTGTTGCCACGTTTCATGTTTATTGTTTTTTTTCTTTTCTAAAAAAACAAATGAAGTACAAGCATAGAGAAAATAATTTTGTCACTGTGCCCTATGTCTTGGATATTCAGTTTTGTTTTTATTTAGGGAGGGTAGGACATGGATTAATATACAAATACATATAATATATAATATGCTAAACCAAAAACAGTTGTGTACAGTGTGACTTTACTCCATTTTTTAAAGGTTTGCAGTGTTCTCTGTGCATGATTTTGCCAGTCAGTGTGGTTATGCTCATTTTAATGAACAGTATCCTGCTGTATTTAAATCTGACAGCCTGCTAATTAAAAGACTAAGTGAATAGTGTCATGGGGGGTTATAAATAGTTAATGTGTTAAAGTATGCTATAGGATCTTAACACTTCTCAGTGAAACTTCTTCTTCTTCTTGTTTAATCTCATATCGGTTTGCTCCAAACATCACTATTGAAAGCTCATTGAAATATAAACCAGCGTTTTTTGTAATTTTATTATTTATTGGGTGTGTATATGAAATTTTATGCTTTTAGAAATTACTCAAACTTTCCATTGATGTTTCGGCTGACAGGTTTCCTTACTGATGGGGCTTCCCCCTCCATAGGGGGTGGGGGGTGTGAGTGTGACATTTATGGGGTGATGGACTATACTTATCACTATTGTTCAGTTCTTGGATATCAGTATGTCAGGACTGGTATCCCGCCCGAGATACTCGTGATTGGTCAGGCTCTGAGATAATCTGCACCACTCAGTACATATATTCGCTTAAGCTGAATGTCACCCTTTTTAAATCCCTCTTTTCCACGTTTTGCTTTCTCCCTGTCCAGTACTGAAAATTAATTCATGTGTAATTCATTACATGCATTTTAAAAGCTAGTTCCCTCCTTCCTGTTTCTAAATGTTTGCCTTACTGAAAATCCTCTGCTTTGAAAACAGGAGCACCACCAGCACCACCACCACCACCTCCTCCTCCCCCAGCTCCACCTAATGAGCCCGGCCGCACTCCCCCGCTGCCGGCCGTGAATGGTACGGGCCGGGGTGCCCTGCTCAGCTCCATCCAGACCTTTAGCAAGGGCAAGCTAAAGAGGGCTGAGATCAATGACCGCAGCATCCCCAAAATCTGAGGGGGGCCTCGTTCCCTTTGTGGCATTTATGCTTTATTTTTTTTCCATTTCATTTTTTGTAATATTGATTTCATTTTTGTAGCCTTTTGAGACGTCCTTTTTCTTTGTTTATGTCTGGCCACCGGGTCTGAGGAGTGCCGTCCGGTCATATGCAGAGCATCTTGGGTACCGTGACTTGAGCTCCTGTCCTTATTTTTTTTGCAGTACTTCCTGTCATTGTAAGCCCCACCTGTGAAATAAGGTCACATTCAGGCATTGTTAATGGCAACCAAAAAACTTGTCATTTGTCATTTCTACCATTTTACTTCGGACTAATATATGCCACAGTTTTATCATTTAAAGAGCCCTTTTTCTTTTAGTTAAGTATCAGAGGTTTACTGTTGTTTTATATGATGCTGTAAGTCATTCAGCATTTACCTTGGTGCCTTTCAAATAGTTGATTAGTCCAGCATTTCCATGGTGCATCTGATGCACTGAACATAAACCCCTAGTAGAACAGCATTTCAAGCACTTCATATTACCTGTGAGGGAGAAATGTCAACTTTGTCCTGAGACAGATCCTGTCTCGCACAGGAAGGTGTTTCTGCCTGCCTGTTTGTGTTAGGATTGCAGTGTTGATGATGAATGTGTTTTGAACTGTTTTTTTTAAAATATATATATATATATATATCATTCCTTTGGAGTGTCCTGCTAATAATATTCCTGCCTTTCAACATTTTCAAATGTTGGAATCCGGGAAGTTTAACATTATTAATATTATCTTAAAAAATACTTAAACCTTTTGTGCCCATTTTTTTTATCATGGATAACTGATCATTGTAAAATGTTTATAAATGTAGAAACATTTCAGAATCTAAGATTTTCATACTCTCAAGCAGTCATACTTGATCTTCAGTGAAATAACAAGTGGTATGTATAATTATTCAAAACTCTTGTGTAAATGATTTGGAGTTCTCTAGCCATGCCAAATCCACATGCAGGTGTCTTCAGGGTGTCCTCTTTGCTGTGTGGAATGTGTTCACAGTTTAAGGACACTTTGTGAATGAATGTGCTCTCATGTTCTCCCTGGTTATTCTTTCTTTGCTCAAACGCATCGTTAAGGAGTTTCCCAACGCCTTCATACTATCAGAAGAGTCTGAGACACTTTTTGTCTCTTTCCACTCCCAAGTTCTCCAGGTAATGTTTCCCAATTTTGCTTGCCTGAGAAGCATTGAGGAAACAACCTTTTTTGAATTCCTTACAAGGGTTAGTGACATGGATACAGTATATTACAGCAATCCATTGTTCATCTTCAGTAGGTATACTGTCCGGTATTTCTGTATATATCAGTGTGTTCATTTGCAGGTTCGTGAACACTTGTGATTTGAATTGCATGAGACTACCCTGACGTGATGTCTTTTCACATTTTTTTTAAAGGGGTTGAAAGTAAAATAGTTTGAGTACACAAACCTTCTGCACACATAGGTGAGCTTGGTAAAATGCTGGAAAAACCTCAGAGAGGAGAGTTGTGGACGAAGTAGATGAACATAGTGTGGTCATCATAAGTGGGTCAGCTGCCTTTGTGGATGAGCATGGTGGTCGTGGGCTCCAGACCCAACCTCCTGGTTCAGTGCTCGTGGCCGATCTGTAGTTATGTAGAAAGCGTTCATTGGTTCGTGTGTTTTGTTTTTTTTTTTCTTGTAGGAGCCATGTGTCCGCACTGAGCATTCTATATTTAATATGGCTACCGTGATGATACTGGTTTACTTTATGAATGAAGAATAAATCATATTTCCTGCTTTAGAGTCCCCAATTTATAGACAATCTCATTCTCTCTAAAGTTTTATTATTATACATATATATATATATATATTTTTTTTTTTAAAAAAAAGGTCTTTAAAAATGCCAATGGGGATAGAATTGCACTTTAGTATGGACTTCACAGACCTTTCCTGATTCAGATTTTGATCTTTCAGTTTGTGGTTCAAAATATAAGAACTTTTTCTTTTTCAGGGGTTCACTTACTACCTGTTATGCTTGTAGCTTATTCTAACATTTTTTTCTGCCTGAATACATGACCATAAATGTTGCTTTTGCCGTTTCCCGTTTCTGCAATCTTAATGTGCCGTTTTCTTTTTTAGCTCTGTAGCTAAACAGGTTTACCGCCTTGTCAGAAGTATTGAAACAGATTGGATTATCACAGAAGATGGTGACATTTGTATATATGTTTAAAATAATGCTATGTAACCTGTGATCAAAATTGTGACTATTTTATTAAAATAATGGAAGAATACTCAATGGGTTTTAAAATTGACTTTATTTCAATCTTTCAAAATATATGGGAACTGTGGCCTTTACCTGGCATTTAGTTTAATATTCTTATTAGGAATTGATTCATTTCTATTGATGAAATTTTATGGATGTAGTATTAAACTATGCATCAAGATTTTAACATGTTAAAGCAATCTTATAGTCAACAATTAAGACGGACAGCTTGTGAATTACTTTAGTCAAAATCTGAGCATGCAGCAAATTAAAAAGATTCATTATTTTTACACATGGTGGCTGCACAACACTATGGAATTCTACCCATTGCATTTTAAATAAGGTTAGACATATATCATAATCATCCACAAAAGGATGATCATGCAGCAGAGATCCATGGTTGTATAAGTAACCAATGAAGTAGGAATCACCTTGTGGACTCGTCACTTAGAAGGCATACGGAAAAGGTAAGGGTTAGGACAATACTGCGAGGCCAGAAAAGAGATCATTGGATGGAGCGTGTGATGTGACAAAGTATTACATTGGCTAATCTCACCTCAGCCAAAACAATTAAATACACATTTACTTTTATTTATCAGACGTTATTGGCCAAACAAGCATACAACCATACAATGAGAAACACATACTTTCTTGCCTACACAACGAAAAAAAAAACATCAGATAAAATTATCTCTGCTGATTTGGATCTAGACGGATTGGAAGATTGCAGACGGTGGAGAACATCATCGGGTCATCGCTCCCATCTGTTCAAGAACTATACCACTCACGTTGCCATAGCAAATCCATTAAGATCATAAAAGATCCTACACACCCAGCACATGGACTGTTTGAACTTCTGCCATCTGGAAAACGCCACCGCAGTATACACTGCAGAACAGCCAGATTTAACAGGAGTTTCTACCCCCAGGCCATCAGAATACTAAACTCTGTTAAATAACCTTTTGACCTTTTACTCTCCTACCTATTGTGCACTTTATAATCACTGATAGGTCTCAAGTTTTCAATCTACTTATATAGTGCAATAACTAATTCACTGTGAAACGTAGTGCAATAATTTTTCATAGTATATATCACCCACAGAATATATTCGTGTATATATATTTATTGTTTGTACTTTGCTGCTTTTTGTTGCCATGCTGTCTTAACTACCTCTGTAAAGTGAAATGTCTGCATGTTGTATGTATGTTGTCTTGAGTGCACTTGTCCCTTATGTCCGCACATTGAGCCTTGGAGAAACGCAATTTCGTTCTGCCTGCATCTGTCTTTGTACTGTTGTATGGTGTGAATGACAATAAAGTTTCACTTCACTTCAAGATTGGGAGGTCATGAGGTCGCTGGAAAGGGGTGTGTGGCGCTCCCGGTCTTTGCAAGAGGACGAAGGTCCAGGTCTTTAGAGTCCTGGTGCTCCATGTCTTGCTGTATGGCAGTGAGACATGGACGCTAACCAGTGACATGAGATGAAGACTGGATTCCTTCGGTGCTGTGTCTCCTAATTAGGAGAATCCTTGGGTACCGCTGGTTTGAGTCGAATGAGCGGTTGCTAGAGGAGTCCCGAATGAGGAACATTGCCTGCATTGTAAGGGACAGTCAGTTACGGCACTACAGCCATGTGGCGCGTTTCCCTGAGGGTGATCCGGCTCACAGGATCCTCATTGCTGAGGACCCAAGTTGCTGGACCAGGCCAAGAGGACACCCACATAACACCTGGCTGCAGCAGATGGATGGCCATTTCCGGAGGGTGTGACTGGACTGTGTATCTGCCTGGGGGATCGCTGGCTGGGATCCCGAGATGTTTTGCTGTGCGATGGGTGTGGCAACGCGCTGCACCTGCGCAAGCTCCCCAACCTGACCTTGACCTGCTGATTTGGTAACAACTAAATGGCTCAGACTTTTGAAACGAATAGGTAGCCCATTCTAGATACCTGTTTCTTTTGAAATCTTCAAATAGACAAAATGCAAAATATATAAAAGTATTTATAAAATACGATTAACAATGCGAAAGAATCAGGTCTAACGGGAGATAGACCGAACTGAATATTAAATATTTGGCCAACGGGACTAGTAGAATAGAAGGTTGATCTTAAATCCAGCCATTTGCCCACAGTAATGCTTGACTTATGATCAAAACAATCATTCTCCTGAGCGTCCCTTCTGCCAAATACTTAATGGAATTACTTGTCTGTCGCAATCCAGTAAAAATAAACAACAACTGATAATGGCTCCGAAGAACCGTAAATATTTTGCAACAGATGGGCCGGTCAACCAGTACAACTAAGCATTATAATGGCCGAATCGAATTACTTGTCAGGTTGTAATACGATAAAAAATAAATAAGAAACAACATACCAAAATTACAATAATAAAATTAATTTAAATGAAAAACTTGGCTATAAGAACTTAAAAACGAATAAACAAAAATTGTACATGCTACTTGAGAGATCAGTTGGACAGTTTCCGGCTGAAAATTGATGTAGGCGTTTTCTTACGAGTGCAAAATAAAACTTCCGCTTCCGTCTAAGTCAGGGCAATTGGTGATTGGTTCGCTGCACTCATACCCTCCAAAAAATCAGTATCAACTAATTCCATTGGCCCCAACTTTTGCGTCACTTCCTAAATAAGGAGGCATGACCCAATCTGTAGGACAAGTGAAATTATGGCGTCCTTAAAGTGTCTTCTGCGATCAGGAAGGGTATGGTAGACGTTTGTGTCATGTTCAAAAGTATTTGCAAATGTTGATATTGGTTTTCAGTAAGTAAGCTGTTTTTTCCCCTATTGCAGAATGCTGTCTCTGTGGTTCTGCGAAGGGAATTCCATAGGACGTTGCCGGCTTCATTGCAGGTAACCCTCAGTACTGAGCTGCACTAACCTTCCAAACATCTGTTCAAATGTTGAATATCATCTGCACGGGATGATTGCATACGTGTTTGAATAAAATTTAATATTGCTGTGTGAACACGACTAAGAGTTTTATTTTATTCTGTCATGATTTATTAGTGGAATTTATATGTTACACATTGCATTTATATAAGTATGAACATTTTCTTTGGTTTCTGTAATGTTGGTATGCCCAGGGGAAGTTATCCGGTCGTTATAGGGCCCTCGGAGGTTTTCTTTTCTCCACACTATAAAGCTTTTGGTTCCACTCCTCTGTGGTCTTCTGGATTTTTTTCCATCTTCATTTTATCACCAGTATCTGGCCAATTTAATATCTGTGTACTAATAATGTATTTTCACAGTTGTAACTGTATTGCAAAAAGCACTGTATAGAGAAAATAAGTTTGCAGGTGTAGTTCTTTTTAAAAACATATATAAAGAAGCCACATTTGATTGATGTGTGAACTAGTGCTTCGTCTTAGAAGACAGTCCTATATGAATTCATAACCAACATTCATTCCTTACGGGATATAAAAATAGTAGATGGTAATCACTTTTTCACTTTTGTTTCATGGTAAACGGTGTACTGAGCTTGTGGAATAAGCAGTAAATGGTGTTGAGTGTTGATGTTTTACTTTCAAATTACGTATTTAGTTATAGACAGTTTGCCAGATTAATACCTTTTAATGCCACTTATGCTACCCAAAATGTCAATATCATACTGACAAGCTGTCTTCACCTTGTTATGATTAATTTAGGTTACAGTCCGTGATGCATTAAATCAGGCTATGGATGAAGAACTGGAGAGGGATGAGAGAGTGTTTCTCCTTGGGGAGGAGGTGGCACAGTATGATGGGGCTTACAAGGTACGTCAGACCCCCTCTGGAACCTTCCTTGTCCTGCAAGCATTGGCCCTTTTTTTTAATTCACTCCAGTGGCGTTAATTTGCATTAATAAATGACTTTGGGCTTTAAGTCAAAGGGAAGTAATTTTAAACATGGAAAGAAACTGGAAGTGGTGTTTTATACAGGTCAGCAGAGGACTCTGGAAGAAGTATGGAGATAAACGCATCATCGACACACCCATCACAGAGGTACTGATGGAGGTTCCATTTAAATACATGCATTCAACTAACTGAATTTTAACATTGTATAATGGGTTTACTTTCTTTTTTTTTTTGACAGATGGGGTTTGCTGGCATTGCTGTGGGTGCAGCAATGGTAAGTCACTAAAGTTGGCTGTCAGTGTTTTTTCAGCACTGAATGATATCGGAAAGAGAGTATATCTTCCTTCTGCTTATTCTTTGATTCCCTTTTCCCTCCTTTCACGAAACATCTCAAATCACAGGGAGGCTTACGTCCAATTTGTGAATTTATGACCTTCAACTTTTCCATGCAAGCCATCGATCAGGTTATCAACTCGGCAGCAAAGACCTATTACATGTCCGCGGGCCTGCAGCAGGTGCCCATCGTGTTTCGTGGGCCCAATGGCGCCTCCGCTGGCGTTGCGGCTCAGCACTCCCAGTGCTTCGCGGCCTGGTACGCCCACTGCCCGGGGCTCAAAGTGGTCAGTCCCTGGAACTCTGAGGACGCCAAGGGGTTGCTCAAAGCAGCAGTCAGGGACGACAATCCAGGTAAGGCGTGACATGAGTAATTTAGTATTTATTAACCTGAATTTTGTGTATATTTCTACTGTATTTGTATGCTTTTTCTTAATATAATATAAATCCAGCTATTAAAATTCCAGATTGCCAGTTTGAATCTCAGGGCCAGCAGAGTGATACAGGCGTTAGGCCCTTAACCTTGAGCTCATACTGGCTGAGCCTGCACTGTGACCCCCAAGTTTGATTTTAACCTGTATAAGTATTTGTGTGTCGCACAGAGAGCAAGATGTGATAGGAGAAAAGCGAATTTCCCCATGGGGATTAAGAACATATCACTCCTCTATTCCTTTCTCCAGTGGTGTTTTTGGAGAACGAGCTGATGTATGGGGTGCCCTTTGAGATGTCAGAAGAGGCGCAGTCGAAGGACTTCCTCATACCAATTGGCAAGGCTAAAATCGAAAGGCAAGGTGAGTCATGTGGTTAATGTCTTATTGTGATTACATAGCAATATTAAACATTTTTGCATGATGCTGGAGAGTGTTGGCAGTAAGCTGCATAGACAGTGAACTTAATGAGCACTATTTCTGTTTTGTTTGTTGTGTGTCATTGTTATTGCGTAATGAATGTTATGAGTGTTTGCATACAGAATTATTTTGTTTAAATAGTGTGTGGGAGGAAGCATGTGATCTGAGGCTTTTTTTTTTTTTCTCCTCCCCCCCCTCCCTCCTCTCAGGGGATCGTGTCACTCTAGTGTCTCATTCCCGGTTGGTGAGTCATTGTCTCGATGCTGCGGCTGTCTTGTCAAAAGATGGCATAGAATGTGAGGTAAGTACTGCTTTGCACACTCTCATCTGTGGCAGTACTGAGGGAACACGTGCAGCATGATACAGCCTATGTGTTGTTTATTGCTCTTCTATTTTCCCCCACATTTATAAAATGGCTCAAAATCACACATTGTGTTGTGTATTTCCTATGAAGCATTTTGCTACAGCCTCTGCCAGTCAGGGTCCTTCACTTATTCCACACTTCCAGGTCATTAACCTGCGCACTATCAGACCAATGGACATGGAAACCATTGAGAAAAGCGTGATAAAGACCAACCATCTGATAACGGTGGAGGGAGGGTGGCCTCAGTTTGGTGTTGGAGCTGAGATATCTGCCAGAATCATGGAAGGTAAATCATTTTTCAGCTAGCTGCAGTCTTTTTGATGCCTCAGACTTTTTGATGCTAATTATTGATATTGAGTTTCAAACTTTTAGACTTCGAGCAAAGTCGACATTTAGCAAAAAAAAGTCCAGTAAGGTGTTTATCTGGTCATGAAGGCCAAACAGGAAATTGTAATTTCTATGTGATTATGGGACTGTGTGCGTGTTGTTCTTTTATTGCCCTCGATCTGTGCCCTGTTTTATTTAATTTTTTTGCAAGTGTTACAAATATGCCTTTTATTTCCAGGTCCTGCTTTCAATTATTTGGATGCTCCTGTTGCCAGAGTAACTGGTGTGGACATACCAATGCCCTACGCTAAAATTCTGGAAGATCATAGTATACCTCAGGTTAAGGATATCATATTCACGGTCAAAAAGACCTTGAACATCTGATTTTACCCTTTTAACATGATCAACACTAAGATTTGTTTGCCTTGGAATATTTGCAGGTAGATTTTGCTCCCCATAAACTAAAATCTGCTTATGAATCATTCAATATTGAGAATATTTCAAACAGAGACATCCGTCTTAATGTTTTCAATTTCGTAAGATGGTGCATGCTGTTACATGTTGAGTTTTGTAACTATCAGGTGTGTGAATGTTGCATAATGTTTTGTGCAGTCAGATGTTCACCTGATTTCAAACTGAACACAATTTAATCTGCACAATGGATGAACAAGTGTTATCTTTAAGAATCCCCATTTAATGTGTGTCTTTATATCTCTGTCAATTATAAAGAGAACGAGACTCTGCTGCCTCCCTTGAATGCTTTATCGTACCCCACACACATGCGCTGGCAAGCCTCACCAAACACAAATATACACTTTGGTTGTGTTCTGCAGCCCAAAAATTCTGTTTTTAAAATGGCAGTGCTCTTTCACTTACAGGAATGAAATAGCTGGTCTAATCTGAATTTAGCATCTAAATCTATTTTTAATGTAATGATGTTCGGGTGTTTAGTAATAAATATTTAAAAACCGCCACTTGTGTCTATTGCATTTAAAGGCTAAGAATGTACGTAGAACGTCCATATAGTGTACTCCACATGGTTGGATATATGTTTTCATTTAGCACTAGTCTTAACTGTGTTCTAAGTAGAGGCATAGCAAAGAACTTGTATATAAAAATACATATTTCATACTGAGAACATACTGCACAAAGTGATTGCAAAGTCCATCAGGAGGAACTATGCCCCTGTCCATTCATCCATCCTTTTTTTGAAACTGCTTATTCTATTCAGGGTCACAGGGCACACTCACACGCATCAATCACTCACACATGCGTGCCTACAGGTAATGTGGTAACTCCAATTAACCTCAACCTGTTTTTGAACTGTGGGGGGAAAGCAGAGTACCCAGAGGAAACCCCAGGACAACATGGGGAGAACATGCAAACTCCACACTCGGAACCCTGGCGGAGACTTGAACCAAGGTCCTACAGGTGTGAGGCAACCACTGTGACGCCCCTAAAAATGCTCATCTTCAGTACAATTTGCTTAGTGCATTTATCCTTTTTTCCAAGTTTAAGATGTTCATTTATATACAACAAAGTGATGGGTAAATCCCTGTCTACCGGTTCCAGTCGGACAACATGTCATAGACTGGATAGACTGTATACGTACCATCCGGTTTTTATTTCTAATAGAGCATAAGTTACTTTGGCGGCTTTTTAAACTACCGTTCAGACGTCATGGCCGTTTAGGGTTCATTACATATTAATGTTCGAATATTAGATGGCGTGTTGCGCCGTCATCCATAGGCACCTCTGCGGGCAGGGAAACAGGCGGAGTTTGTCTGTCATGCAGCTGCCTATCGGGGTGGGAGAGCCGGGGAAGCTCCCTAAGTGAGAGTGGGAGGCGGCCTGCATTTATTCCAGCACGTTTAACAAACAGACGCGAAGGTAACAATAAAAAAGAGCGACCATCATGAGACGGCGAGCTTCAGCTGGGGTGTGTTAGTGAGAGAGGGATTGCATGGTTAGTCTGCTAGCTGCGCGCTAGCCTGTTTGTTAGCTCTCTGTGCGCTTCTCATTCATTCTGCTGACATGCGTCTTCATCCTGCATCATCTGCTCTGTCTGCGTGGACCAGCTGTTAGATACTGTAACTCGCTATTTATATTTAATAAAGCCATGCGGGTTCCCGATATTACAAATGAGTGGAAACATTATTGCTAATTATAGAGCAAGAGGTGAACGATGATCTGAATACGTGGAAGATTCCTTAATTATATCACCTTGTGAAATGCTGTAATAAAGTACTACGTGACTTTTAAAATCTCTACTGATACCGAGGTTTGGGTAGCAATCGGTTGGCAATCTAGTTTATTTGTGGTTGCTTTTGCCCGTATCAGTAATGACCTCCAAATCGCAGCGATACTCGACTATAAATGATAAATGTTTGATTTTGTTTGTCTTTAGCACAGGTGATATCAAAAGGAATAAACAGAACCAAGAAGAAAGCAAGTAATCAGCCTCACTTTAGGAGGCCACCAAACTGATGAAAATGGACAATGGACATCGGGGATTCATGGTCAGTGACGGGACTGGGACTCAGGCAGACACCACGTGACCGTATGATACCAACATTAAATAATCTGGCCAGCAGTAACTGTTACTGTAACTAGTAAATAAGAATGGACTATTTTACAGTGATACAGGTTTATTGGTGCATATCTTAGGGAATATTTACAGACTACATAAAGCAAAATAAATGGTAAGCTAAATGCAAAAAAACTTAAATGGAATTTTCATCTCATGGAAAGCCTGTAATTTTGTTACCACATAAATTGGGTACAGTCACTCAAGTTTACTTGCACAATAAATTGATTAGATAATTCAGATGACCAATGTATAACAGAATGTCTTTTAAAACAAAAACAGGAATAATCTACATGCTTGGTGAGTGGAAACTTACCTATATTGATACAATCCAGTCAGAATTTAGCTACGATTTGGTATTTTCATGTATGATCTATATACCATAATACAGACTTAACATTCTAAGACAGGGGTGTCAAACTCCAGTCCTGGAGAGCCAGAGCCCTTCACATCTTTGGGTTTCCCCTCATTTAACACACCTGATTCAACTCCTTGTGCTAATTACCACACAGCTCTTGAGCTGAATCATTTATGGTGGAACAGGGAAAGAACTAAGCTACACAGGTCTCCGCCCCCCCAGGACTGCAATTGACACCCCTGTTCTAAGAGGTTCCTCTTCAGGATGTAGCCACTAGCACAGAGTATTACAAACACCTGAAACATGTAGGCATGGTTTCATGACTAAAAGGGTGACTTGCATTTTTAGTAATAAGGGATTTTGGGAGAGGAAATGCTTCCTAAAATTCTGGAAACAGCCCCCGGCACATAGTAGTGCTTGCAAACTGGTTTTGTGCATTATTTGTTAGCATGATGTTGTGTGGTAACTTGCCTGTGATGCCGTTAATGCATGTTTGCCTGTATATAGATGACAGATCCGGTCACTCTGAATGTCGGCGGTCACCTCTACACCACCTCCTTGTCCACGCTGCAGCGATACCCAGACTCCATGCTGGGTGCCATGTTCTTTGGGGACTTGCCGTCGGCTCGGGATTCTCAAGGAAATTACTTCATAGACCGCGATGGTCCGCTTTTCCGCTACATACTGAACTTCCTCCGAACCTCCGAGCTCTCGCTGCCACACGACTTCAAGGAGAACGAGCTCTTGCGCAAGGAGGCCGACTTCTATCAAATCGAGCCTCTCATTCGGTGCCTGAATGATACAAAACCTCTCCACCCTTTGGACACGTTTGAGCAAGTGGTGGAGCTGTCCAGCACCCGAAAGCTCTCGAAGTACTCCAACCCAGTGGCTGTCATAATCACCCAGCTCACCGTAACCACCAAGGTCCACTCCCTGCTCGAAGGCATCTCCAACAACTTCACCAAGTGGAACAAGCACATGATGGACACCAGGGACTTTCAGGTGTCCTTCACCTTCGGGCCTTGCGATTACCATCAGGAGGTGTCCCTGCGGGTTCACCTTGTAGAGTACATCAGCAAACAGGGCTTCAGCATCAGAAACACACGTGTGCACCACATGAGTGAACGGGACAACGAGAACACTGTGGAGCATCACTGGACCTTCTGCAGGTTGGCTCGCAAGGTTGAGGACTGAAGTGCCGTCATCGGCATTTAAAATGTTGTCATTGACTAGACAAGATAAGCCATGTGATATCAGCAGTTTAAGGACACGTGCTTCTTCAAGCATGAGTGTTGTACAATAAACAAGAACAAAGCATATAAGCAGGAGTGTTTGTATTTTTTGCTAAGTGCATACTGAACTTTACATTTAGCAGAAACTTTCGTCCAAAATGATTACGAGTTAGGATCAGGGTCAGACAGTCACTGGAGTGGTTAGGGTTACGGCCCTTGATCAATGACCTAGAGGTGATATGGTTACTCTTCTGGCCACAAGATTTGAACTCAAGACTTCCAGATGTGATTACAGATCCGCATGTGATAGGATGCTGATCAGCAGCCCATGAGCACGGCCCTTAACCCCCATTGCTCTATGAACTGGCTGATCCTGCTTTCTCAAAAATGTATGTTACTTTGGATAAAAAGCATCTGCCAAGTTAATGAGGGCCGCTGAGCTACACACTGCATTTTATTTGTCTAGAGCAGTGTTTCGCAACCCAGTCCTCGGGGAACCCCGGACAGTCCACGTTTTTGCTCCCTCCAAGCTCCCAGCCAATCAGGAACACAGAATACCTGGTACAGTGCTGGGAGCTGAGAGGAAGCAAAAATGTGGCTGTGTAAAGCGCTTCTTCCTGCTAGTGTAGTGGAAGCTAAAACCCTGGGTTCCTTTAAATCAGAGCTAGATAAGATTTTAACAACTCTGAGCTATTAGTTAAGTTCTCCCCAAACGAGCTTGATGGGCCGAATGGCCTCCTCTCGTTTGTAAATTTCTTATGTTCTTATGTTTAAACAGCTGTACCTGCAGAATTAAGATAGATTATTTTACTCCCTCTTCATAACTGATGTCAAGCACATGTCTCAACCCATTTTTCAAAATAAAAATAATGTTTTAGTGTTAAACATTGTATGGTTGTATGATTGTGATAGTAATAATATATTATGAACATTCCATTTGGTTAGTTTCAGATTCCTCATTGCAGAATCCTTACAACAATCTAATTTTAAACAAATTATTTTAAACTCAGTTTGGAAAGTTGAGGTTTTGTGCATTTTTATATAATATAATGCAATATTGCTATAGAATGAAAGGGAGAGGTCCATTATATTTGTAGTTTTATTTACATTAAATGTCACAGTATGTAGTGAGATGAATGAACAACTTGTTACCCAGTCTGCTTCTGTTCTCACATGCTGAATTGCATTGAATCAGAAGAGTACAGTACGTACATAAGCTGATACCATGACCTGATTCATACAATGCAAATTTGTTCCTCTGCTCCGGAACTCCGGAGAATCACAATCAGATAATTAGCGTCTGTGTAATAAATGGGACTCTTGTCTCTGCAGTGTATTTGTTCACAGCTCTTTTGATTTCAATTGAAAGCTTGGGGATGGAACAGCTTGACTCTGTAAATGCCTCGCAACTGGCTTCTTTAAGGTTTTAAGTCTTTCTCTTGTGATCAAAACAACTTCCTTGTTGTATCTGTGCATTTGGATTTTCCGGGTGTTTTAAATCCAGTAATCCACCATTAGTTCCTTCTTCATTCCTCCATCCATCTTCTATACTGCTCTTTTAACATATGGTCACAAAATATTCTATTTCTGACAAAGAATATACAGTGTAATACACAATAATTTAGAATTTTTTTAAAAAGGTCCTTAGTGCATTTACCCAGTTTTAGAATGTATAAGGTAATTTAAGCTAGTATGAACTAATAGGTAAGGTATGGAACTGTGTATCAGTTGAACAGATTTCCATGCATTTTTGGTTACATTATGTTCAGCAAGGAGAGTTGGAAATAAAGTCAATGTATCTTTATTGTCATCTTTAGCTGTATGATTTTTGGATCACACACTGAGATAAAATATCGATCTCATTGATAAAAAGTAGAATATGAATAGAGAAAAAGTAAAAATATAAACATGACATGATAGAAGACAATAAAATCTAGTCATGGACACAAGACATAGGACTAAAATACAGTTAAGATTATGCAAATGAGCAGGAATAAGCAAACTGGTTAAATAGATTTTGGTTTCAGTGTTATGGTTCAAGTCAAGAGTTGTATTCATCACAGGTATACAATGACATCCAGCCATTCCAAATAATAGCAGAGAAGGGTATTTTAAAAAGTGATATAAAACTAGTTATGAGACAAAATACCTACAAATTTGCATCACATTATGGGTTTATAAAGCTTTACCAGTAAGTCAAAAGCAAACGATTGAGCTTCAGAATGTCTCACCATTCATCTGAGAAGCTTCATTAGTTTATCTGAATTGGGGGGGGGGTTTATTCCCTAGATCCTTTTGATCACATGACAGTCATGTGAGGGTTGTTTATGTCTAGATGTGTGAATGGGCTATGAAACTCCTGGGGTAGAGATGTGATTATTAGTGCTAGATGCAATGCTGTGAGATGATCACGTGATATGGAATTAACTGGAAAGCTTATGTGATTCGAAATTTCCAAGAATGTGGTGCTTCCTGTACGATTGCACTTAGCTAACAGCTATTGCCTTTCCTGGTACTTCAGGAGGCTGCAGTGTCTGGAAGCTTTCTGCCTTTCACACTCATTGCTTCCATTCATGTCCTGGGTGTTCTGATGCCCTAGGTGAGATTCTGTTGCCCTCACAGAGCAGCAGAAAACTAATTTTGTCAGTTTATATTCAAAACATTTTGGTACTACAGGGCTGCTAACTAGCTAGTAATATCTCTTTCACAAGAAAAAATGTGAAATATTAAAACTAGTGTAAATAACTAATGTCATGGAACGAAACCAGAGGTATTTCTTTAGATTTTTTTCCCACTCACTCCTTTGCACCCTCAAAGCCATTGTTTCCCAATTCGGTCCTCAAAGGCTACTAGACAGTCCACATTTTTGCTCCCTGCATACAGTCCACATTTTTGCTCCCTGCATACAGTCCACATTTTTGCTCAGCAAGGAGCTGGGAGGGAGCAAAAGCATGGATTGTCTGGAGGTCCCCGAGGGCCAGGTTGGGAAACACTGCCCTAGACGATAGCCTCTGTCGCCCATAACCTGGGCAGGCCCTGATCACAGAATATGCACACTAAGGGCAATTTAGTGATTCCATTTCACACAGTCACGTGATTTTGAACTGTAGGTGGATACCAACACACCCAGAAGAGTCTCAGGGAGAGCATATAAACTCCACATGCAGTCGGGGTGGGATACAAACCCCAATCCTGACAGTTTTAGTGGCAGTGCTCCCCCCGGATCTACATGCAACCAACACAATACTGTATTTTAAAATTATGGAATGTGCTAAATTAAGTGTGATGTTTGAAAGTATGAATATAAATGACACAAGAGGGTATGTAAGTTGGCACTTCAAATACACTGCAGATATCCTACAGTTAACAGTCAAAGCCGTGTTCCTACTTCACTTCTCCTTGCGTTGTGCAGGGATGCCATTATAGATTTTGGGCCCCATGAAAGCATATCATATTGGGCCATCAACCCAGACCAATCCAATTATGTTACAAATATTTTATGGCCCCTGTCACTAAATGGCCCTTGAAATTGTCCTAACTTCCCCCCCTTTATGGCACCCATGCCGTTAGTGGTACAGATGCACAAAAAGTCCACTAGATGAGTAGTGTACAGTCCATGCAGACACTCCTGATGACAAAATTTACGTCACACATACTGCATGCAGAGCGCTACGGCATGTGGATCTGTAAGGCTTGAATTCAGCTTAACAGTATGCTTGAAAGGACACTTAAGGGTACATTTAACAGTCTACCAGTAGCCTAGGAAAGAGAGTAGTGTTATTCTGGAGGTGTCACAATGATTGATGAGCAACAGGTGTTTGAGGGGGTGGCAAAATAGACTCAGGATGTCACATGTGATAGCTCCAATCTTCCCATGTGTGCCAGTGAGGTCACATATTCCGGCCCACCCCCCAAAAAAGTGACAAAAACAGATTTGGGGGTCAGTTTTATGAGGACGTCAGCTGTAATATCCCTGCCTCTGACATTCTGCACCTTCCGTGAAGATAAAAATATCCAGCAGCCTTCTCCCACCCTGCAAAATTAGTTTCAAAACGGGTTTTAATTAGGCGTTGGTTCCAGCAAAGGAAATAGCAAATTTTAGATACCATGCTGTGTTGAGAACAGCCGAGAGAGAAATTGGTGAGATACAATATGTCCAGATACACCTAAGGAAGGTGGTCGGTTCTGCAGATGTGGTCTGAAGACCTGAGCGTTAAGTGGGAATTACCAAACAGGGATAAGTTGCTTTTGCGCATCGGGACTCAACCTGTAAACAGAATATTGCTGGTTAAAATCTACATGTGAATGGGGTATTTGGAGATGGAGGAATCTGAAAGAGGTGGTGCAACCCTGAAAATGCCTGACTGGAAGCTTTGTAATCAAATAATCATTCCACTGTTGAAATGGAATGATGGGTCTGATAGCTGCTGAAGCTTTTATGCTACAGAAACTGGAAATTCCGCGACTAGCATGTGTCTGAGCGGTCAGGTCAGGTATGATGTGAACCGGTGAGACAGCCGACCGGATGCTAAGTGTCGCTCAGCAGCCAATCGGTACTAATAGTGAAATATTCATCTGAAATAATCTGGTTAAAGATGATTTTTTTTTTTTGCATCTCCAAAAGGGTTATTAAACTATGAGGTGGACCATTCCTGTCAGAAACAACATGCCTGTCTATTTAACACTGACTGATTACATGTACACACATTGCAAAATGCTGATTCATGAGTCTTCAGAGAAAGTTAACCTCTTATTGAAGCAGGTGAAGATACCTTTGATAATCCTAACGTGTGTTGCTGCTTTCTGAGACAGCCATCACATGAGAGAAGTTGGGGAATGAAATGCTCTGTCTCTCATGTGTGTATAATTGAAGAAGCAAGTCGTCTTTGGTGCATTTCATATGTCACATGTATTTTAACAGGTCTCATGCCTCTACATTGAAAAAAAAATCTAAATAAGACCCTTTAGCTTCTTTAATTAGTGCATGTCAGTTTCAAAGAGCACTGCTGGGCAACACCACCAACCTAGGGCAATATGCAGGGCCAGACAAGTTACAAAGAGCTGTCGAGGAAGAATTCAGAAAAAAG